GCTGGTACCTCCAGCGCCCACGGTTTTAGTCGCAGTTACTGCTTCGCGTGGGGATGTGGTTGGTGTGTGTGTGACCGCGAAGCGGTTCTGTGCGAGCACCCCCAGCCTGTGCCTGGGGCGTCGGTCTGGCGGCCCCCCCTGAGGCTGTGGGTTTTGCTGTGTCTGCAGGAAACACCTCCAGGAGCTCCCGTCCTCCAGCAGCAACATTTTCACCAGCTTCACCTGGGACTGGGACTCCAGCAAGACCTCGGAGTTTCTCTCTGGCATGGGAGTGTCTGTCCTTAAGAAGGACAAGCTGGGCAATGAGAACACACCACAGGACCTGCTGGTGTCATCGTCCTGCCCTCCTCAGAAGCGGCAGAAGGTGAAGGAGAAGGAGAAGGAAAAGGACTTTTTCATAGTGCGCCGGCCTCGGCTGCTCCGAGAGGCAGAGTCAGGTATTTGTCACCCTGGTGCAGGTTCCCCCTTCAATAGAGAAGGCATCAAAAGTCATTAATACTTTATTCTTTCCTTGATTGCTCTTTCCCACCATATCGTTTCCAGATCTGGTGGCTTGTACATTCTGTTGCTATTAAGCAGAAATGGTATGTCTGGCTCCAGAACTGTGGCCCCTGTAAGCCATGGATGGCTCCTTCCGTTCCCTGTGTGTGTGCTGAGGGTTTGTGCTGTGTGTCCCAGTCTGTCTGCTCCTGCTGCCTGGGACTTGAGTGGCACCTTGGCCCCTCAGGGCCCCGAGGTGCATCTGTTGCTCTGCCCATGGACCTGTTCCAGGAGATGTTTCACCACATTCCAAGCAGGGCCAGGCTCCTCACCAAATACAGCTGTGGCTGCCAGATGAATATGGATTATTGATGCTATTCTCCCCAGTGTGATTTTGAAGCCCGGGGAGCTTGAATTTTTTATTTAATTTTTTTTTTACTTAAGCATCTAAGAAGTGAGATACTTGTCCCTTGAGACCAAGGGGACTCAGATCCATTTCTCTTGCAGTGCAGGCTGAGGCATGCCAAAAAGGCAGCATCTGCTCCTCTGTTGGAGCTAAGCTGTAAGTAGTGGAAGGGACCCTGCCAGTTGAGCTGCAGGGAAGATACAACTAAGGGGTTAAGGCTCCTGTGCTGGAAAGGGGCTGGCAGGGGAAGAGCAGGCCTTGCAACCTGAAGACCTGAGGGACTTGATGAAGGGGTTGTAGGATGCTGGGTTCCTTTCCCTAGTATCAAAATGTATTTACAGTCTGCAGAGACTGCAGAATGCAAAATAAAGACATGACAGTAATATTTGGTAGTTACCTTCTGAGAACGAAGAGCTGAAAGGGGGATGAGTATTGGGCTGTCACCTGTATAGCTTAGAGAGAGAGGCTGTAGAGGTGTATTAACAAACAAGCCAAACAAGGCACCTCATCAGCAGGCAGAAATGAACCAGCCTTACCTAGAATACATTTGCTCTTTCTTTCCCTAAAGGTGTTTCATGGGATGCACTTCCAGATGAATTGCTTTTGGCAATCTTTTCATATTTGCCCCTAAGTGACTTGCTCAGAGTTTCCCTGGTTTGTAAGAGATGGCATCGTCTTTCGTAAGTATTACTAAGAAAATGTTTGCTTCTGTGGACTGTTAAACAACCTTTTTCTCATCTTCTTTAGTCTTGTACAATTCAATTTAGGCTGTATGTGGGTCCTATGTATGTATAATCAAAAGGTGGCTCATGTATTTTAACATTAGTAAGTTCTATTAAATAGGTTTCCCTCCTCTCCATCTTCTGTGACACTGAAAGCTTTCTGTGCTTATAGTTATGACCTTTTCCAACTCACTAACAGGTAAAATTCTGTGTCTCAGGTTTGATGAATCTCTCTGGCAGACTCTTGATCTGACAGGTAGAAATCTGCTACCAGGAGTGATTGGACAGTTGCTGCCTGCAGGTGTTACTGTATTCCGCTGCCCAAGATCGTGTGTTGGGAATCCATTGTTTAAAACAAGCAAGTAAGGCTTTTTTCTGCATGTTCTGGATCCTGAAACCACATGTCAAATATTCACAGTTTCTCTCTGTGTTTATCCTTTTAAGTTCTTTACCAATAGTAGCATTTGTGCTGTCTCTGGAGTGTGGAAGAGCTGATCAGTGGTTAGGCATGTATTGAAATGAAGTTAATAAGATTTTTGAAAGTATGACGCACCATCACAGTTTATATCTTATAGAACCAAGAGGCATCAGTATCTCTAGCATTTTTATTTGGAAGCTCAAAAAAACCTATTAAACTCCAACAGGACAGACTTTCAGCTGTTAAGAGAAACCCTGCAAATAACTTGGAGTTTTCTCTAGTTTGGCTAGTAGCTTAGCAGTATGTCCAGTGTGTAGCTGAATACAATGGCATAACTATTTTCTGCAAGGTTTGCACTGTTTTACTGCACAGGGTATATTTATAATATCAGGAATTTGTAGAGTAGGTCTCTACAAATGTAATTTTACGAAATGTAATTTTAGCAACCTTTCGCCTTTTTTAGACCTCTGAGAGTGCAACATATGGATTTGTCAAACTGCACGGTGTCTGTTGCCGATCTCCAGAGTATTCTTTGTCTGTGTGAAAGGCTGCAGAACCTCAGCCTAGAGGGACTAGTTCTTTCTGATGACATCATGAAGTGAGTAACATTTTTTGCAATATTCAGTAAATACTTTCTGTTTCATAATATCATTTTTTGCAGGCTAGTGAAAGTGCAGTTGAGAGCTGTTCATTGTGTGAGTTGTTTGAAATGGCTAGTTTTTAGGCACCTAACAGAGCTATCTGGGCGGGCTAGATGAGCTGCCTCTCTGTCCTCCAAGAGATCAACTTAGGAGGAAACACTCTTGGTGCCTTTTCATTCCCCATAGTAGGGGAAACCTGGAGAAACGGCTTCTCTCTCTAGGGTTTATATGTCAGCTGGCTGTTCCCACACCCAAGCTGTACAACAGAGCTACTTCTGTTTTCCCATTTCTGTGCTCCCAAGAAAACTTTGTGTTTGGCATACAGCTTCTTTTCTGGTTTAAGGGGTCTCCCACCGGATGCTTGTCATGCTTTTGCATGATTTCTCACTTCAGTGTTGAACTTCACTGTGAGTGTCTGGAAAATTACAGATTCTGTCAAGCAGATGAGCTGTTGTCTGGTTAAAATGGAAAGACACCAAGGGGTACAGTCAACCTGTTCAATCACATCAGGTGATTGTGGAGGTGCAAAGGACTAGAGGTCAGATGGCAGAGACCCTGGATGTCCTGCTTTCTACTTTTGAGCTTTTCTAATGCATTCCTCATGCCAGAAGGAAAAAAAGAAAAAAACAAAACAATATAGTTTGGGTTTTGATAGATATAAAAATATCTGAAATTCAGGTACTAATTAGGCACAAATGATGGCATTTTGTTGCCTTGTGTACAGATCTCAATGCGGGGTGTAAGGGTTTTTCCAGGTTTTGCCAATTGCATATTTGCTGTAGTCCTTGCAAAAAAATGCATTTGGGGGATACTGTTTGGACATGGATTTTATTCTGGAATTACTCTCATCTTGCAGGATGACTTGGAGAAATGGGATGATTGCTTTGTCTGTCATAGAGGTATAGTCATCTCTATGTGTTTAATGGCAAAAATAGTTTCCTTTTAAACTCCGCAGTTTTTATAAAACGGAGACTTGTCAGGAATGTCGATTAAACAGGAACATGTCCCTTTCAGATTTGTGTCATGGTGCAGCAAGTATAGACCTGGAATCTTTAGTGCCGTCTAGGCTGGTCAGTTTACTAAAGATGCATTGCTGCATGTTTAATAAATCTGTGTCCAGGGTCTTGGCTCTTAAAAATAGTAATGTATCCTAGCAATGCAAACAATGTTCCAGCATTCATATTTTATCAGGCTTTTCTCTTCTCTACAGGAGCATTGCTAAGAATCCCAGTTTGATTCGACTAAATCTCTGTGGGTGCTCAGGATTTTCTGCAGAAGCCTTGGAGCTGATGTTGAGCAGCTGTTCTTTGTAAGACAAAAATAATTCTTGCTATTCCTGCTTACTGCCATTGCTAAGGAAAAGGAATTTTTCTCATAGGCATCCTAGTTGTACTTAACTCTTAGTATCTTTTTCTGAGCCTGTGTCTGTTGCTAAATGCCTAATAGTTGATTATTAGCAGAATACTCTGTTTCTTTCTATCAAGCTGTTTTCTTCTTTAATAGTGAAGACGTACTTTGTAGTTTTTAAGGAGTTTCCTTAATCATTCTTAAAGGAAATCTCTTTGGTAGGTAACACTAATTTATGTTCCTTCAATTATATTAATGAAAGCAGTATGTGATCCTCACAAAGGGAAAGTGTATTTTGAAACTGAAGAGTCCCACAGCACTGTTAGCAATCAGAGTACAGTATGAATGTCAGAAAACATTGTGCTTTCCATACAAGATAGAATAATTCTTCCATAACCTTCTGCTTTATGCAGCGCTGTGTTCAGATTGGCATCTCCAGTGATTAAACCATCTGCTGGCAGAAGTCACTGAACTGAACCCAATCAGTCTGGGATTATAACCTGATCTTTCTGCTAGCTTCCTGTGAGATGCTGGACAATCTCCTTAATCTTCACTTCTGCAAAAGTGTGTTTTTAATCACACCACAAGTTAGTGAACAGCCAAAGCCTTATTTTTTTTCATAGGTAGATAATGCTTTGTGTTGCTTGGTCTGATTACTTGGATCATGAGCTCTTCATAGAATGGCAGACTGTACAGTGAATAGTGAACAGCAGATGGCAAACCTGATCCTAGGAATGCTAGTGACAGTTTAACTGGTTTTTCATGTACATAGGGCTGCCAGCTAAATGGCTCTTATTGTGCTGTTCGCAAGTCCTTGTCCTCTGGTTACATCTACAACATCTGCACACAAGACAATTACTTTGTCCCAGCCCTGAATGATGATAGGCTATAAGTAATCAAGCATGTAAAGAGAGTTAAGGTCACAGCATGGCAAATGCTTATATAAAACGAAGTATTTTACGCTAATTAGGATCAATTGGTCATCTGACCAATCCTAATAATAGCTTGTCTTTTTTCATCTCACTGTGAACATCTGTTCAGTAGTAACAGATTCAGGTCAGAAAGCCAGAAGCAAGATGTAAAACAGTGTCTCCCTGTGTCAGTCTTCAGAGAGAACCAATTCACTTCCTAAGATATTATTGAATCATTCTAGTCAGAACTGGCCTTGGGAAGCCACTTCAGCCCCTTGTCCAGAACAGGGTCTAAATTCAGCACTGGCCAGGTTCATGAGGGCCTTCTCTGGTTGGATCTTGAAAGACAGATTCCACAGCCTCACTGGGCAACCTGCTGCAGTGCTTAGTTATTGTCATAGTGAAATCTGAAGTCACAAATATGGGCATTTGGTAGTAGGTGTGCTACAAATTTTTGCCTTAGAAGTATCAACTGTAATAGATAGTATCAGAAATCGAACTGTATTTCAGTCTTTCTTCCAGACAATTCTTCCTTCATTTCTGTGTAGGTTGGAGGAGCTGAACTTGTCCTGGTGTGACTTCACAGCCACTCATGTCAAAGCAGCCGTCAGTCATATTACATCAAAAGTAACCCAATTAAATTTAAGTGGATACAGACAGAATCTACAAATACCAGGTAAATAACAGTATTACAAACCTTTATCGCGCTATAGCAGCAGGATTTATATTTTCTTCTGATGGTATATGCTGTCTGCATAGAAGAGTCATGCACCAGCGCTGATCTTGTGCTCTGTATAGCTCAATTTTCATGATATCAGAGGATCTTTCTCATACCTTTGGCTTAGCCATGAGGGTTGAGATGATTTCTGAATTTCAGAATAGTCAGATGAAAGCTCATTTCATGTTCAGTTGAAAGGTATAGCCATTATTTCTCAATTAAGTGCTGGAAGCAGGATGCAGTGGATGCTGCATGCTCCGCTTTGAATCAGCCTTAGAAATACTGTTCTTTTATTGTGGCTGCTGAAGGCATTGTCTGAAAGAGGGCAGTCATAGTAACTACTTGAGTTTCAGCCTGACGTGATCTGGTACACATACCAGTTAATGTGGAAGGCAAATAATCTTGGTAATCAACATGAACTGTTTACTTTCTAATGGTTCTAGGAGGGAAAGTTGGATAAAGTTACAGGCTAATAAAAATGCAGAGAAATCTATATTGGGGGAGAGGGCACAATAAAATGGACAAGAGCATAGATAAAGGTTGAAATGGCTTTGGTGCTAAAGAGAAGTTAGTTTTCTTCATGAGCAACTGTGACAGTAGGGGATTGGCTGACAAGCAGGTAGGTGACACACAGACTGTGGCCTCTTTTCTGTTTAAACGTCACACAGACCTTGGCCTGCATTCCTCTGTGGGGAAATACACCAGTCATCTTTTTAGCTCAGCCCAAAACCCTTAAATAAACATGCTACATAATCCCCTCCAAATGAGGAATTGGCCTTCTGGTGATCTGACCATTACAGACAATCTCTTTGCAAAACAGTTTCTATGAGTAATTTAACTCTATTTCAATTAAATTTTTAAGCTGTAAAATTTGAATAGTTCACTAATCATCATAATCTAGCTATTGTTTTCTTTAGTTTTTGCATATGAGTTCTGAAATACTAACGTTCTCTTGCATATTGATTACCATATTGGTAATAATAAGTGACACTTAAGCCACAGGTGATTGCTGTTTGCAGACAATGACAAGATGGTCTCAGGAATTTGCAGTTTAAATGGTAAAAACTGTAACTTTCTGTTACAAGGGAAGAACTTTCTCTGGGTAAAAATGGAGATGGCTGAAGAACTTGCTCTGAAAGGGTATTTGATGTGTGGAAAAATTTTGGAGGAAAGGCTAAGGGAGCTGGGTCTCTTGAGCTTGGAGAAGAGGACACTGAAGGACCTCATCGATGTTTACAAATACGTTAAGGTCAAGTGTCAGGAGGATGGAGCCAGGCTTTTTTCAGTGATGTCCAGTGATAGGACAAGGGGCAATGGGTGCAAACTGGAGCATAGGAGGTTCCACCTAAGTATTAGAAAAAACTTTTTTTACTGTGAGAGTGACAGAGCCCTGGAACAGGCTGCCCAGAGGTTGTGAAGTCTCCTTCACTGGAGACATTCAGAACCTGCCTGGACGTGTTCCTGTGTGATGTGCTCTGGGTGATCCTGCTCTGGCAGGGCGGTTGGACTAGATGATCTTTCAAGGTCCCTTCCAACACCTAAGATTCTGTGATTCTAACTACACGTAAGAATTTCAGGCATCTCACCAATATTGTGTCTACACAATATTGTGTAGATTTCTACACCACTGTCATTTGAATTATTCACTTGCTAAGTTGCTGGTGCAGTTTACTTCTAGGAATACTTTGGACTAAATGGATCTGTTTTGCTGAGAATTAAGTCCCTGAAAGGTATGTTAAAAGACTTACAGCTTATAGTCTGCATTAAGTGTGTATCTTGTTCACAAAAAGTTGTGTTTTGATTGTGGGGTTCCTGTAGAGAAGCTACAGATTAGAATACCTGGAAGTGAGTAGGCTGTACAAAGCATGTTTGTCTTGTTGCTGAAACGTGGACTGAGTCTGTGTGACCTTTTTTCAGACGTCAAAACACTGGTGGAAAGATGTCCTTTGCTCGTCCATTTAGATCTAAGGTAAGAAGACCTGTGCAGCTAGTCCTTAAATCCTTATGGTTCAGGGGATTGCCAGTACTACTGCAGTGCAATAATTTATATAGCAGTAATTGTGTAGGACTGCACAACCAGAAAATACTTTCTATGATAAACATACAACAGATTTGCTATCTGGCATGACATAATCTGGAACTTCTAATGAACTTGAAGATTTGTTACCTCAGCACTTACGTTATATACATACAGGATTTTTTAATTAAAAAGTGATGGTAGTTGATGGGTAGAGTAGAAGGAAGCATTTAGATGCATACAATTTGAGCCTAGCATTGTAGAGAGGGTCTAGTTCAGCTCTGATGTAACTGTGTTGCTCGGCCATAGAACTGATGAAAAGAAAGTTTTGCTTTGACTTTGTCAATTAAAATATTTTGAAATTACACGTGTAAAGTAGTTGTCTTTTCATAGCATGAGTTCTGCTGAAGAACATCTGCCTGCAGAAAATTTTCTGCTTCACTTCTCCTGCAGTGAATACCAAAATCCCTTCCACACAACACACACACTAAAAATAGGTTACTTCTATATTGAGCAAAAAATACTGCAGTGGTAGAAAAAGGTGATATTCGTTGGATTTATCATTCTGAATTTTAGAAATACCACATTTACTGCTGCTTTATACTTAAACTTCTCTTTCATATACTTTTGTGTACAGTGACAGTGTGATGTTGAAGCCTGAGTGCTTTCAGTATTTTCACCAGCTCATCTTTCTGCAACATCTGTGTCTTAGCCGATGTTATCAGATATCACCAGCAGCCTTAGTGTAAGTAATCTCAACATGGCTTTGGTTTGCTGTTTGCACAGAGGGTGAGTTAACTTAATTTGCTTTATTTTAGGTTTAGAATGGCAAGTACTGTTTTGAAAAACTTACTCTGGTGTAAGGAGTTAGAAATAAGGAACTGAGATAAAATAACCTTACTGCTTGAACATGTACCTTTTGAGAATCCAGACTGGAACCCAAGGTATCTGAGAGAATCTTTCTGTGATGTCAGTGTGTGCTCATGGAACTTGCTGCTCAGTGTGTGTCTTCCATTAATGGCATTATACTACTGATACTCATTACTGAGAGGTATAGCCAGTGACCAGTATCAGTGTCAGTATTAGGCTTTCTGTTATGCAGCAAGGAAGGTTAGACTAGCTTAATCTATTTATATTCGTTTGCTTTTGTGTGTACCTGTATCAGTTATTGGTTGCCACTGAAAAACATCTTCAAGCTATTGCTTGTGGGTTTTTCTCCCTCTTACTAGTTTAACAGCTATCCATCTTAATCCTCTTGGAAGGATATCAATCCTGGGGAAATGATCAACCAAAGAAAAGGTTGTGAGAGGACCAGGACTATAAAAATGTGCCTCTTGAAGAATCTTTTCTGTAGCAGTGTGTGCTGTCATGATGACAGCTTGTGTGTCTTTGCCTTTGGAGTTGTCTGATACTTGATTATAGTTAAAACCAGTCACATGATGACTAGGCAAGGAAGAAGTCAGGGCTGGGTAGTCATCAAAACATTGTAACACTAGAGCCTCAGAGTACCCAGGGGCTTCTGTCCTCTGAGCCACATCCTGAAACTTCATCAGGGGCAATTCCTTCCACCTGTTCTAAATATCTGAATCCAGGGACATGAAAGGCAAGGAATGAATTTGTTTTCCCTCTGAGAAGGAGAACAGCAAGAAGCAATTTATTGAACTGGTTTCCTGAATTATCAGTACAGAGAACTTAATTTCAGTTAAGTATGTGATTTTAAAAAGTAGGAGGGGGAATTTAGCTTAAGTTACCTTACTTTTAAAGAAATTGGAAGTAATGCATTGATCTAGTTTGAGTACTTTCTGCAAAAAAAAAAGTTTTCATGTTCACAACTAATTTAGTATTTTTCTCTTTCTAGAGAACTTGGTGAAATTCCAACATTAAAGACTCTTCAGGTATTTGGAATAGTGACTGATAGCTCCCTACAGCTCCTCAAGGAGGCGCTTCCTGACATGAAGATCAATTGTTCACATTTTACAAGTATTGCAAGGCCAACTATTGGGAGCAAAAAGAATCATGAGATTTGGGGCATCAAATGCAGATTAACACTGAGAAATCCTAGTGGCTTATGATCATGTACAATGCACTGGATGTGATGGACATGCTGTGTAGTGAAGCTCCTTATGAAGCAGAGTGCTGGAGCACCTTTAATCATAGTACTGTTATTGTGAAAAGCATTCTAACTTGGTCTTATGCGTTAATGTAGTTTCATAAATATTTGTAGTTTCTTTTTTTTTTTTTTTACTCAAAGCCTTTAGAACTCTGATCTGTGAGCAACTGTAGTATTTTTATTTTTTTTAACCTGAGAGCTTTTTTAAAAAATACTATGATATTCTCTTGTAATTAAACAATGCCAGCCTCTGGCAACTGTGGGAGGTCCTGATGCAGCTTTTGTTGCTCCAAGGTGTTCTAAAGGTGCTTTTCATTAACTCTTCCTGCTCTGCAACTCCTGGAATGGGTTGTAGAGATGCTAGGTATCTTAAGGTTTATTAGGGAATTGTCGTCTTCTGAGTTTACAGAATTCAAAATGAATAATGGCATTAAACTTAATCAGGTCCTTAACTGAACAAGATGCACAGTAAAGATGAGAAGCTAACCACTGGGAGAGGGACAGTCTGAACTTGCTAAACCTGAAATCACTAAAGAGGGGAAGGGATGTCTACACAAAAGTAGCTATGAGACAGCTCAATACTGTGGGCATCAAGAAGCAGTGTAAAGGAGCTACAGTGATGTTCTTTAGCAGGCCACAAGACAACATCTGGTTTTAGTATTCTTCATTGTTAACAAAATATGGTCAGAAAACCCATTCAGAATAAGCATCTGTAAAATTAGATGCTGGTTATCAATTGTTTAATGTTGTGGTGTTCTGATTAAATATTACAAAACCTTAATGTAGGTTCTGTGACCTTGATCTCAGATGAAACAACTTTAAAATGTTCTCTTCCTTTAAAAAATAAGATCTTTCAGCTGCAACTGATAGATTGGCAAAAATCTTGCAGGAGGACTCAAATGGCTCTCAGACCAAAACCTGGGACTACAGTGTAAGAGTGCTGAAAGGAAGAGATGCTTCGGTGCTATCAAGAGATACTTGCACTTCTTGTATCTCCCACACTAGGTGCTACTGTCTCGTGTTGGGTTTTCTTAGTCATATGAAAAGCTGAGTAACTGTCAAAAAAACCCAAACAGGTAGTGCTCTAAATAAAATTTTGATCTGATCATCAGGGTCCTCATGCATAAGCTTGGAATGTTTCATGGGTAAGATAGTTGAGAAGTCTGAGAGCAAAACTTGCACACTCTGTAGGGCATGTATGTGCTGCTGCTGTTTGCATTAGTGCAGTAAGCAAGCAGGCACTTCTTTTGTTCATGGATGTTTGTTAGCCTACAGCATCACATTAGGGCTGTTCCAGAGGGGTAGTGTTTCCCATCTCAATCTGAAGAGTTCACCCATAAGTATCTGGTGGCACAGAGCAGATTAATTACTGTGGAAAGGTTGTATTAACTTGATGATTCATTTTGTTTTAACTATTTTCTACAGTATAGGAAATGGAGCACTATCTTGTTTATTTGTTCTAAGTGGGCTTGTTTTTTATTAAATTTGATGGAGTCTAAGTAACACTTCAGTCACTAATACACTGCCTACTCACTCCTTTGTAAGGGACACAAGCGTATGTTCTCAAAGCTGGAGTGCAAAAGTGATGGGAGATTTGGGGATGCTGGATACTCCTAATGCTTCAGTTTGCAGCCTTAGATTTATGCCTTAAATTACTTCATGGAAAAAAGTAAATCTTTGCAGCACAGCACTGTTTGTAAATGCTGCTTCTCCCTATGCACATGTAAGCCCATAAAACTTCTCTTGCATTTAATAAAGATCTAAGGAACTGCTATGTTGTACAAAATTACTGATGGAGGAGAGAAAATTTTCCCTGACTTGGCATTGACTGTGTTTTGGATTTCAAAAAACATCAAATTATAAAAGCTATGTCTAAGCAATGGTGGTTTAGAGAACAGGGTGTTACCACAACTATCTTTGCCATTTAACAGATTGCTTGAAAACCCTGTACAGAATTGGAATAGTAATATGGTTTTGGTTAGAAAGAATAGTCATAAACTATTTTTAAGTACTAGGTTCAGTGTTGGAAGGGGACAGACATTGATAATTCAGGTCTGTTGGTTATGATGGCAGATGTAGCAGACTCATAATGGAAATTCTCTGGTTAAGCTGCACCACTGACCTTTTCCTAACTGCAAAGTTATAAGGCAGCTCCAAGTACTTTGTATCAGTAACTGCTGCATCTTACCTAAAGCATGAAGGCTTAGAAACCATTATTTAAAACAAATTGCACAGTATGTGAGAAAATGAGCACATGAACCACTGTTCAAAGTTGAAAAAAAAGCACAGGCCAGCTTCATGTATCTACCAAGTTTTTAATTTTTATTACATAATGTATAAACACCACTTTTCTTAAAAAAAAAAAAAAGGCAAAGAATGACAGATCTAGTTTAGCAGAACACAGTGTGGACTGGCACTAAATGAAAAGACCATAGATTTGATTCGGCAGGTAAAAGAGGTGCAGAGTTCACTGCCAGTCCAGGCAGGTTAAATCAGTGTTAAACCAACACTCAGTCCTGTCACAGAATACTGTCTACCAGGTAAGTTGTCTGCATTGTGATCCTTCATAATAAAGGATGCTTATTGTATTCTACAATTCTTTAATTAAAAAGGTAGCTGCTTCCTGTTTATTATAAATTTCTGAATCCTAGTTACTTAAATTAAGCATTCACCAGTAAATGCTTTAACAGAAGTGCAATTAAATATAGACAAAACCAGTAGAGGCCACTCATGAGTAGGTCAGGTTTCTATTTTGCTAAGTTAGGAATTTGAAATCTCTTACTGAGCCCTAAACCAGATCATACTTAAGTCTCTCCAGGGCCTGAAAACATTGCATTTTAGTCTCAGCATTCATAATAAGGAATGACAGGCATCTTTAAGAGGTATCCTGATCAGACTAATCAGTCTCCATTAAAAGGTTAGAGCACACAAATGTCTCTTAAGCTGGGGACAAGGGTTTCTGGCATGTATTTTTCTGTGCAGGTATTCAAGTACACTAGCAATATCTAGACCTCAGATCTAACACAGTGATAAAGTTCCAGGAAATCATGAATTTGTGCTAATGGCATTGGTGGGTTGATTTGTTTTTTTAAATCTTAACAGCATATTGACTAGTGTACTAGACAGAGGCACATTAACCCTCCTTAACTGGTTACAGATGGATTAGGAATATCTAAAACACCCTAGTCTCTGTGCAGCCAACTTTCTAAAGAAAGATTAGTCTTGCATCTTTACCTTTAGAGCAGTTTTACAGATTAATTTAGACATTAAGAGCTTTATTCTGATACTTCCTGAACTTACCAAGTTTTGAAAGAGTATTTGGTTACTTGATTATCCCCATCTGGTCTGCAATCCTGGTAAGTAGATTGAGTTATTTACACTATCTGCAGCACACTTAAAGGTGAAATGTACACAAACAGTGGCAACTTACTCAAAAAGCTCTGTCAATATCGCATTTTACTAAAATTGAATGCTCTGGTCAGATAATTTTCCTCTAAATGCTGGTTTAGAGTGAATACAAAGCACTTAAGTAGTGTAAGGAAAAAATCCTTTATCCCCTTCCTCCACCTGTAAAGATAAGTTTACATTTTCTGATTGGCAATAAATATACCGATTTGCCACACTGGAAAACATTTACATCAGACCTGAGAACATCTGTTACAGAAGTCTCTTCATTCAAAAGTGGTTTAAAGAAAACTCACTTTTGGAAATAGATCTGTAGTAGACAGGACAAATCGTATTTGTTTCAAGTCACATAGAAGTGTTCCTGCTGTAGGAATCTTCCATTTTGTCAAATTCTGCCCTGATCTATGCAATTAACACACTTTCAAAGGCAGTCCTAGTTCACAGTTTCTATAAAACATAAGCCAAGAATTCACTTCCTTTTCTATTATCAGAGCTTTTTTTGCTATTATCAACTTGCTTACCTAACACATTATTAGAGGCACGTAAAAGTAAAACTCCTTTGTTTCCAAATAAATATCAGTAGAATTCAGCATAGGATTGGTAATTTAAACTTTTGGGGAAGTTAAACACATACGGAAAATTGGGAGACACACGGGTATTAACTTGTGCTCCCAACTACTACCACTCAGCACATCTCCTTCAATTATAAAGAATCTCAGAACTTAAAATTCCAAACCAATCAACTTAAGTCCAAATATCTTTCTTAATGATAGTCACCTACATACACTACCTTTACTAAACACCTGCTAACCAGCTAATTCATTCAGTGAAGGAGTATATCTTACTTCAACATTTCCTATAGTTTATATATTCCTACTAAAGGGCTTCAGAAAACCCTGGGGTTTCAAGTCCCTCTCTAGCCAAAGAGTAAAGGTAAGAACTACCTCATCCAAGATGTGATTAAACCAGACCTTTACTTTGGATGTAAATCTACTAAGTAGAAAAAAATACTGGAAGAGCAAAAAAAACCCAACAAAAACCCACCAAGTTTCACAAGTTGTATGTAACTAAAAAGTTGTAAAATTTTTCAAAAGCATACAAAAAATTTATATTTATATTATTTCAACATTAGGATTACCAAAATCTATATATCCTTGCATCAAATTGCTAGACTGACAGCTTTTCTACAAAAGTGTATGTATGAAGGTGTTTAATCAGTCCCAGACTGTTACTAAAAAACTGTACATCTGAATATTTAATACTACTGACTTAATACTTGAACCCATCTACCTGTGTTTAAAAATATGCTCTTTCAGGTTTGCCTTGAAGGTTAAAATGTCAATTTCCACTGATGCTAGAGCTAAGACTTCAGATCTATTTCTTTTTGAGCAGACACAAAAAGAGCTTTAACATCAGGCTAAGGTTTCCCCAACCCAAAGGAATGAAAAGCATCTCAAGCTTCCTCCAAACGCTCTTGCAACCAAAAAGGCCAACTTCGAACATAATGCAGCATTGTGATGTGCTGTCTGTCTCCAGGAGTCCCATCTCTGGATCCAGCATTGTTTTCAGCGGGAGCCATCTCAGCAGCTCCTTCCTTCTTCCAGCAGAACTGTGCACAGTGCATCCTCTGTATCGATCATTATTGAAGCTATCGCCCCATCATTGAACTCAAAAGATGTTCCTCCATCTACAACCATACACGCATCCCAACAACGGGAACGGACGCAGACTCTGCAAAAACCCAAAAAAAATAATTTTCACAAAATAGATTAAAAAAATTAATTTATTTCACACAACCACTTTTTTGAACTGGCTCTTGGACATTGCTTTGCGTGGATCAGCCAATGCTTAGTTACATGGAGGCAAACATAGAGAATAACTCAATATGGTGCTAAGCAATTGAATCCCTTAACCTATCAGTACCTCATATACACAAAGCAGAGAGTCCAGAGAGGACTGAAGGGCTTGTCCAAATGGAGACTATTGCTCAAACAGTTTGAGAACAACCCTTGATTTCAAAAGCTGCAGTTCAGGTGTATTTTTTAAAAGAAAGCCACTTTTTTTGGTATTGCTGGGTTGGAACCAATAGTTATGCCAGAGCTACTGCAAGGCTGCAGTTCCACACAGACATACTTGATTGTTTCTGACTTAGACCTTGGTCAAGACAAAGTTCTCATCTCCAAAATTTAATCAACAATTACCCAGGGACCTAAATTTTCAGGCAGAAACATCTTTCACAAATACAAAAAGGTGGGAAGCACAGCCACAGTGTCAGTTTAATTGGCCTGTTGCAGAACATGAAGGCATGTTCCACTCTGGGCAGCCACTATGTAAAAAAAAAATAATTAAAAAGCTAACAGCAATGAGGAGATAGCTAGCATGAAAAGCTAAAGATCAATTTTGATGGGCAGTAAATTATTCTTAAAAAAAGTAAAAGTGGGTATATATCCTTCATAGCTATGCAGTCAGTTGTATCTTCAGTATAGTTTTTATAGTATGTATCATGCTGAGGGCTCCAAGTAAGACAAGACTCAGTCCTGTAGAACCCACGGATAAAAATGCAGTTATTTGCTCATATTTAACCTCTTTCCATCTCTTAGTATTTATACACCCTGGAGAACTCCCAGATCCAACTAAGGAGCAGTAAATATTTAAGGACATGACACATACACATACACTGCTGGCATCTAATATTGTAATAGTTAGTAGCCAGAGATGTTATTTATTAATAGGTCATAAAATGTTGCTGTAAAATCAATGTGGCTCAAAACGAGCAGAATTTGGGTCTCCTTTGTCAGAGCTCCTTTAGACATTCGTTTTGATACAAAAGGTTGAATTACCATTTAACTGGTATGTTATATTGTTCTCAACATGGTTATTCTGAACGTAAAATTAAGTCGCATGTGTTTATATTTAATTGTGGCAAGCTCCAGAAAAATCACACAATTCACTTAGGTTGGAAAAAAACATTAAGGTCATGGAGTCCAAAAACTAATACCACAACATCCACCACTAAACCACGTCCCTAAGCACGATGTCTGTATATGCTTTAAGAACCTTCATGGATGGTGACTCAAGTTCCTGGGCAGCCTGTTCCAGTGTTTGATAACCCTTTTCTATAAAATCATGGCTAACACATCATATTCTGCTGTGAAAAAGAGTTTAACTCTGTCTGCTCTGTAACCATACACTGGTAGTTGAATTCAGCAACTACATTCACCCTGATTAGTCTTGTTTCCTCCAGACTGAACAAAAGCACCGTTTGAGACTCTCCTTCATACACCATGTGTTTTGGCCCTCTCATCATCTCAGTGGCCCTTTCCTGAATTTACTCCAGTTTGTCAATGCCTGTGTCTCCTACTGAGGGAAATGGCACACACCCAAAAATGGGCACAGTGAGTTATTCTTATTCTGTAAGACTGCGAATGGATCAAACATTAAAAAGGCATAACACAACTTGGAAACATTTTCTTCCTGTTAAGAAAACAATACTCAAGCCCTTCAAAACACAAACTGCATGTTGAAACACTTCAAGGGAAACTCCTGAATTACTCCTAGTTTGACAAATACACAGAACAAAACACTTCAGTGACTGCTACAGCCAACACTTACTTTGAAGAGAAGCCACGCTGCCGGCTACTGGAGAAAACTCTGTTTACAATAGGTTCTCGAACACTGAAAAACATCTTTGGTTCTTCTGGACTGTAGAGCAGGGACTCATTGTAATCATTCGTTACTGTAAATAGAGAAATCAGCCATTAATTTTTTCCAGAGAAAATCAGTTTATCTCAGAAACACACTTTTCCAGGAAAGAGCAGCTTCCCTACCAAGAGGGAATACTGAGTCTTGCCACATGTTTAGTAGCCTTTACCTGCAAAAAATCAGACTTCATAGAAGATTCCTTTCAGTTCTATTGCATGATGAACACTTCACAGCTCTATTCAGATGATTATATATTAAATGTGTCAAATCTTAGAAGAACTGAAATTCTGAAGACCTACACATACCAAAGTCTAAATAAGTGCTTTCCTATCAAGTAAGACATTTTTCACCAAATGTACCTAAATAATGTTTGTAAGAAAAACTGATTTTGCAAGAGTGCTAAAATACTGAAAGCACTGCTGTGTATTAAGAGTATGAACAAATAACTGGTCAAAGATAAGATACCTTAAAGAAATCTCGCTTTTTTCACTAACCTTTTTGTACTAGCTCCGTGTTCAATGGCATAGTCAAACTTCCATGCCTTTTAGCTGTTGAGCCAAGAGAAAGAGCCCCAATTAGATACATAAATCTTTATATAAACTTGGCCAATAAAGCCACAATGTTAACTCACCAATGTTAAGGATCTCTTCAACAGCTTGATGTGCTAACTTGTTAATATTATAGGACCTAGACAGAGAAGTAGAAGCCTTGTTTGCTAAGCAACACAAGTTGGGAGAAAAACAAAACAAAACAACTTGCATACACATTAAGAACTATATGCAACACCAGGAAAAAAACAAAGACTGCTAGTAAGTGTGAGCTGACATGAGTTCCTTAAAAAAATGCCTTAATTCTCAGTTTGACGTCTGCCTGTAGCTTTGTAAACCTTAATAATGTTAAGTCTTCAAGAAAGAAGAGCAGACACTCAGGATGTAGTCACCTTAACAATAATCCTGCCTTAAAACCGCAATAATTGCTGATTAAAATCTTCATTTTTAAAAAAAGAAAAATGACAGTTCTACAGATTGTGTGTGTTCTTATCCCTTCTATCCACTCCCTGCTAATTACTTCCCTTCTGTTAAGTTCTCATTTATGGCACCCATCACTTCTCTATTAATATTAATTACTTCTCTTTAACCCTACCTTAAGATCTGGGCTTTAATCTCTTACGAACCAGCATATGTAGAAAAGGAACAGTCAGATCAGACACTTGCATTTGCCATATTTGGATGTACAAGTCATCATAGAGCCTCAATCCAAACCAAGTCTAACCTCCAACAGAAGTCTCCCTCCCATGTCCAGTCTCAAAAGGTATCAGGTGCTAGTCACAGACTCTGTGCAGCAGTGCTGTGAACTCGCCAATGTCTAAAAACAGTATAAAATTCTCAGGCCAGCACTTCTGAGCCTGAGCACATGCTTGCATGAAATTGAGATTCAGTTTGAAATTGTCCTCTCTCTCAGCTAGATATCCTTTTGTGCAAGCTCTGGCAGACGAAGGAAGCCCTTGGACATTTAAATCCCTCCCAGTCTGAGGAGGTCTGAAATAGCAGGAGAGCCCCTAAACCACAGGGTAGGGACCATCACTCCACCGAGGCATCGGTTCAGAGAAGTCCAGTAGCACACACTGATTACAGTAATGGAGATGGACAGCCCTGGAGTTTGGTCTCTGGTTCTGGGATTGCTCAGTACAGAGTGTATAAGCAAATGAAATGCATAATAGCTTTGAATGAAGACTGTACATTCCCAAGGTACTGAACACTAGGAAAGTTCCTCTAGCAGTCTGCCAATTTCATCTTTGGCAGCCTCCAGGACTAAGTTATGTGGACTGAATACAAAATCCTGAATTACAATGAAGTGTAAAACCCAGTAACCATGGTTATGGCATGAATATGCATTTTTGAATTTGATTAAAAGCTTCAGTTTTAGTTCATCTTAGCTTGCCATATAAATCCATCATGTGTTGCACAACTTTAAACTATAAGCACAGCCAGATTTTCAACCAAAAGAGACTCTTCACTGTACACATCTCTCACATCTCAAAACTCAAATGATTATAAACGTCCACACACTACCGAAGCTTGTTTAAACTGAATTTACCCCTTTGACTAAGCTAGTACCAGCTCTGCTTAGATATGCCTGTCTTTGTTTAAGGGAGTATTTTGGCAAGGAGATGGTGCCCTTTCAGTGAAGTTTGAAAAAGGCAAGAGACTTTGAAGGAGAACGGACAGTAGATGTGGCAGAGAACACATAACACTATTTCCAAGTACATGTTCTTATTCTTCTTAGAACTTAGATTTTATTTTTTAAAATTGTCTGAGCTACTTCATCTAAGCATTTTAATTTTAGCCCACAAGAGTAGTTTAAAGATCTTCCCAACATGCACTGCAACTAAGAGCAGAACGTCTTTCCCTTGCCACCCCTAACCATTCATTTCCACGTGTGGCATGCAACCTCTTTCAAAGTTACACCTAAGGTAAATTTCTGTCTCAATGTCTCAGCTCCTCACCCTTTCAGATCTTCTCCCCATACCTGTAAGTGAGGGGTACTCTGCTCTTCTCATACACCCAAGACAGCTTTGAACCATGCTGGCAGTAAGAAGAACTGGACACAGTTGACATGCACCAACTTACCCGTAGGCAAAGAAAGCCTCAGTCTGGACAAAACGTTTAAGCAAAAGAGGTCCATCTAGCTTATCCGAAGTGATATTTTAAGTCAAAGAAGCAACATGTGCTTACCATGCTTTTGATCCTGTTCCAGTACACACATTAAGCCCCGAACTCTTCTGTTTTTCCCAAGGACCATCATCAACTGATATCTCATAATAGGAGGCCCTATGAAGCGAGAATTTAAAACTGGGTTTGCAGGACTTAAAGTTCTCCCTGAATAAGACAGAACACACAGCCTTATCAGGCACATAAATATTTAGAGACCCTAGTTTCAAATCTGGATGATAACTTCACAGGTTTTGCACAGTGTTTCTTATTTGGCAGCCACTTCTGATTCATTGTTTTATAGCAATTATAATGGACAAAAGTGATTTGCAGCATGAGCTTTCAGGCAGTTTTTCTGCAGCCACTTTTCATACTAAATTATGCACAAAGAACTCTGTGGTTCATCTGGGAAAAGCTACATATACATGCAGAGTTTGCTAGGCTTACAAATTAAACCAGAAATATGCTACCAACCTTGCGTAGTTGTTTAACTACTGAAAAACTGTGTGCATGCTGTGACTGGATCTCCTAAAATTACATCAGGAAACACTAAGAAGTAAGGCACTCCAATGTCTGAAAGTAATGGAATGGCTTCAAGATGAATTGTGGATCACTTCAGTAATTAAAAATCCACTGCTATCCTTCCCAAACAGTTTTAGTTTTACAACAGTCAGCAGGCTTACATTTCTCTCCAGGGCAAATTCTTCCCAAAACTCAAATGTATTAAGTCTTGGGGCACAGTTAGCATGACTAAGTTCCACCTTCATTAGTACAAGGAGCTTACTGATCTGGTTTGGGTCGTGAAGGTTTCAGTATGTATGGATCAACTATGAATACACTTAGTGTTAAGTTTAGACTCTTCGTAACTAAGGGCATTTTTGAGCACTCTTGAGAGTACGGAAAGATGAAAGAATTAGAGGCAAATTAAGAACACAGGTGTACAGCTTGATTCAGTTTAAGATAATTCTTGCAAGCTGGGTATGAAAGGTGTTTTTTTTTTCCTTTCAGTTTTCTTGTTTTCTTAACTGACATGCAGAATAAGACCTTGAAAGTAACACCTGGACTCATTCTGTCTTATTAGATGGCAAATTCTTGTATTTGAATCTTACAGAAGGTTCAGTAAGGTTCTGACATCTGTGTGATGTCATAAATTATTTAAGTCTTCAAGGTAAGGCCTTACTAACACATTTATCAACACAGTACTTATTATCACAGATTTGTTCCTAAGGGCATTGTGTTCCTCAATGCTTCTCAAATACATTGGAACCAAAGAGTACAATGTATTTAGGATACTCAGAAGCAGAGGGCTACTACAAAATGTTGGAAAGCAGCTTTGTGTTTCTCTATCACTGTACATTAACAAAACAAAACTTTGAGAGCAAAATTTGTATCTCTTTGAGACTAATTCCTTCTGACAGTCTGAGGCTGCAGTCCAGAGGGAAGATAGAGCACTCATGGAACATTTACACTGTTTCCAGCAGCAATCAGTGTCCCAGGCATTGCACAAATGTAAGAATGTTACACTCTGAAGTTGTGGGGTTTTTTGAAAAAAAAAAACACATACAAAAAAAAAAAGGGAAAAGCAATATAAAATACAAGTAAAAGTCTGGCCAAACTCTGACCAAGGATCTTGCTTTAATTCCTGTCATGCAGTCCCAGTCACATTTCCTACATCCCTATGCTACCATTTGACTCAAAGAAAAGCATTGATCTGCAGGCCAGAAAGGATTGTCAAAGGTATCTTAGATAATCCAGTACAAGGATTTGATACAAATTTGCTCCTTAAAACAAGAAATTAAGTGTTCTCTCACAATAACAATGCTTTTGACAAATGCATGCTGATACCTTTGCCTCTAACAACAGAGAGGCAGGGAAAGGAGTACTTCACAGAATCACAGAATAACAGGAATATCACAGAATATCAGGAAGGGACCTCAGGAGATCGAGTCTAACCCCCCTGCCAGAGCAGGACCAGAATTAGGGCAAGTCACTCAGAAATGCATCCAGATGGGTCTTGAAAGTGTCCAGAAAAGCAGACTTCACGTCTCTGGGAAGCCTGTTCCAGTGCTCTGTAACCCTCACAGTAAATAAGTTCTTCCTTATGTTGAGGTGGAACTTCCTACGCTCTAGCTTGAATTCACTGCCCCTCGTCCTATGACAGGGCACAAGTGAAAAGAGCTTGTCCCTGCCTTCTTGACATCCACCCTTCAGATATTTACAGACATTAACAAGATCCCCTCTCAGTCTTCTCCTCTATAGACTAAACAGCCCCAGGTGTCTCATCCTTTCCTCACAAGACAGATGTTCCAGTCCCTTAATCATCCTCATAGCCCTTCGTTGGACTCTCTGAAGTAAATCCTTGTCCTTCTTGAAGTGGGAAGCCCAGAACTAGATGCATAACTCTAGGTGAGGTCTCTCTAGGGACAGAGTAGAGGGAAAGGAGAACCTCCCTCGATCTACTGGACACACTCTTCTTAAGGCACCCCAAGATACCATTGGCCTTCTTGGCCACAAGTACACATTACTGACCCATGGATAACTTGTCTACCAGGCCTCCCAAGCTCCTTCTCCATGGTGCAGATCACCTCCTAGCCTGTACTGGTGCATTTTATTGCTTCCCACGTGCAGGACTCTGCACTTCCTCTTGTTGAACCTCATTAGGTTCCTCTTTGCCCAGCTCTACTTGGTAATGCTAAAAGCTAATTCTACCTACTTGGTCATGCTAAAAACTTCCTGCTCAGTCATGCTAAAGGCTTATGAAAAGATACTTTAAAAGAAATGCAGGAGAGGAGGCAGTTTAAGGACAGGTATTTAAATCTTCCATTCACTGTAAAGATAGGAAGTGAAAGCAGTTACATAAGAACTATCTGGGAAACAAGTAAAAGAATGAAGAGGAAAGAAAACAGCCAGAAATAATAAAAGATGAAAGAATGACCAGACAGGAAGACTGAAAACCAGAAATTAACACCACTGCACTTTGATCTCTGGAAATTCACTCCATAATTAGCAAAAGTACAAGCATCCAGTTTGAGCCAGGATTAAGACAATTTTCCTTTTACTGATTTTTAAATTTTTTTTTCCTTCAGCAAGCTCTCTTTTAACTAGTCACAGTGTGTTCTAACTAAGGCAGATAAGACAGTGGAATGCTTTTCTAACTGCTGGGTCTTCAAGGTCGCACCTTCACTCTACCAGCTCAGGCACTATGGGAAGATATGTGACCCCCCCGTAGGATGCCAAGTTAAGACAGGCAGTATAACTGGCCAGAGATATTCCATTTCATGTATCTACGTAAGCTCAGAGGAAGGTCAGAGATCACCAAAGACAACTCCCTTCCTGCTTCTTCTTCCCTTCTTTTCCGTCCAGCCATCACCATCGACCCCCAGGCTCCAGCTCTCCTGACCCTCATCATTCTGTTCTCTCTCCAGCAGCTCCAGGACTTTTCAGGACTGTTCCCAGCTCAGGAGATGCTGGGGGAGTTGCTGGGGTCGGGGGAGGTGAGAGGCTTTTGCACATATCTGAACATATTTTATATAATTGTATATATTTTATTTTATCATTAGTGTTTAATTAAAGCTGTGTAGTTTAGTTCTCAATCCAGCAAAGTCTCTTCTTCTCTCTCTCCTTCTCTACCCAGGCGAGAAGGGGACGTGATCAAGAGCATTGTTGTCGAACTCGAGTCAAATGGTGACGCAGTATTATATGTTCATGGATTAGAACTAAAATTTGACAGCCGTCATCCCATCACTAATTGTCCATTGCAATGTTGCAACAAGAAATAAATTCAACTGTGCCTTGCTGCAGCAACAAAAAATTCAACATACCTGGATGAAAGAGATTCCCCAATAAAGACTTCATTGAGTGCTCTCACTGGCAGAAGATGTGGACCAGAAATGTCAGATCCTGCAGATATTTAATATAACAGTTTTCAATCATGGCTCTATTCCCCAAAATTTTCAAAAAATATTCACAACTGATTGAAGGACACATTTTGCTTTCTGTGTTTGTATTCCAGACCTAGTGTTCCAGTTTCTTCAAGGACTCAATTTTTCACGGATTTGGTCTGTAGCCAGTCACTGTCCTTTACTGGAGACTACAAATATTTGAACCAAGGTCGATACAGCAATGACACATTCAGATACTGCTTTCCCTGAAAACTTACAGGCAAACAAAGAGACTAGAGTCTTCTCTTCTGACAGTCATTCTTCCAGCCTAGTTAAATTAACTGATGGTGACCTAACAGACATTTCTGATAAAGTTCAAAGATTTAGACTTCTTACCACACGGTAATTATGGGGGATTAACAAGTTCTTCATGTTGACTAAGGAGTCTCAATGACAACACGTAGTGCTAGACACAGGTAAAGGATAGAATCCTGCATCTTCATCATAAAGAAAACCATTGCGTTCTGATGACTAATGAATACCCAGATAGCCAGAGAGACACCAGCCTTTTCATTTGTGAAGTAACCTCCTTCAAATTTAGCACAAGTTAAGAGCACATGAACATACACAAACATGCTTTCAGTGTGAAGCTACTAAACATATGGTTAAATTGACCATGTAGTAATCCCCATGTGTCTATAGTAACTCTAAGAAACAGCATTTTAAAAAGCTCAGCTGCTTTGCCAGCAGACAATACTATTTACAAATATTTCTAAATTGTTAACACTGAAAACTGGTTAAGTGTACAGTCCAAAAAACCATCTATAAACAAAAAAATACTCCCTTCTAAAAAACTTTAATCTGTGTCTTCAACTAATGAGAGCTGCTTCTCCCTGGATATCAAATAGATCAAGCAGGCTTCAAATACTTCAACTCTTATAAGTCTTTATCTCCTGGTGCAAGTAATCATAACAAAATTATTATACTCATCAGATTTCAACCTACTTTGATCTGGGAGTCTTTCATTTATGTGAGCCCTGCTGTGTTGCTCTTGGCTTAGCTGCTGTTCATGTAAATCTACAGGGGTTGGGTTAATACCAGTCCCTTCAAGATACAGTCGGATTCTTTGCCGCCACTGCCACCTTAGAGGAGAAAGAAGTTGGTATCAGCAGCTGAAATATTAATTGCAGAATTAGATAGGATCAGAAGGTTATCATCCTTATGGAGCATCACTCAACATTTCCTTAGTATAATATACCTATCTGCCCTTAAATTCCATGTACGGTTTAAGTAGTCAAGCAGATAGTATGCAATGAATACCATCATGCTAGTCTCCTTAAAATACTCGTGCTAGAACATGTCAAAACCCTTACAAAATTTGAAAATGCAACTGTACCCTCATTACACCACTATTATGAGATCCTGTTACACCATTGGCCATCCCAAAAAGAAACATGGGTAGTCTGACACAGTTTGTCCTTTATAAATCAATGACGTTGGTTGCGCTTACAGATTGTTGCACTGAAGTGGATGACACTTCAGTGGTAAGCAGAAAAGGCAAGCCCCCTTTTTCCAGTCACTTGGCGTCTCAACATTCCTTACACAACTCTGAGCCCCCATAAGCTGTCTAGACAGGCTGATCCAGTTACCCATCTACTTAAAAATTTCCTTAGGGTCAAATCTGAAAACTGCCAAGTGAAACACTCACTCAGGTCCTTGCTTAGAAATACCAGTTCCTATTATTCTAGAAAAGCAACCAGGGAGATTCTGTTTCACTCTGGTGAGCCTTCAGATCCATAATGAGAAACAACAGGAGTGTTGGCAACAGAAGTATAACATGACATTCAACAAAACATTGGAAGTGCCCAGATTATCAAGGAAGGTTACCTGCATAAGCATCACATACTTTGCCTAAGCAACTTAGCATGACAGAGAGTTAAAAACTTCTGTTTTCTGTGTTTCAGAATATGGGAGATGAAGTACCTTTTCATTGAGCAACACCTACTGAAACCCTTTCAGCTACTTAAAATCAATCCTGATGATGGTATTCACCCCATTTCAGAATTCTTCTATGCACAGATACAGTTACGCATCAATCTGTAAATTAAATGCTAGAAGTATAAACAAAACCCAACAGTAATGTATGTTCATGTGAATTACTTGTTTCTGTTTGATGGTTTTTCATTCTAGAAGTATTCTGGAATGTCAATACACTGCAGAACAATTTATTTTTTAAATTAGTTTTTAAAAAAACTCTTCCCTAATCTGTGCTTTGAAATTCAGCTTGCCTCCTTCTTAATTCAAGTGAGACTCTTCTATTTTAAAACACCAAGCTGTCTTCAGCATAAAGAGAAGTTTTGGTTTACACTAATCTGCTAGCGATATTTAATCCACTCTACATTAATCATCAAAACCCTAGATGCAAGACATTGACTATTTCCTAATTGTACAGGCTTCATTAGCTTCTAGTATGGCCCATCACTGTACTACATACGTTTTTGAGTGTTAAAATATGTAAACCAATGCAGTCTTCACAAGAATGAAGCTCCCCATTTAAGGATTTGCTAAGTCAGAAAAGAAAATCAATTACTGGAGATCATAACAAAAGCCTTTTTGCAGAAACTGACGGTCACTTTTATCCTTTGTATTTCAATCTCACTCTTTACCACGTTTTGAAAAACCAAAGATCAGTGAATCCTACCTGAACTCACCACGATAAAGCTTCTGTAGTGCTTCAGGAAATGAGTGTGTGTATCTCACAGGCAAGCATAAGTGACCCTCTGATCTGGTAGCAAAAAGGACAATGAAAATTTCTATTAAGATTTGGTACCTTTAAAAAAAAACAAACTAAATCAAACATATATCTTGTTACATAAAGCAAAGCTACAATTTGACCTTTGTGAGCCTATAGTATTCTTACATTAATAACACACCAGCAACAATACATCTTTTTCAGATCCTTTGGTATGTGTGAGACACAGGATGTTTCTCCCACATTTCCCCTAAAAACTCACACTTCAGCAAGTAATCCTGCAGCAATACATGGGTAGTAATACAGTTCCTGTCGCCATAGTCCTAAACAAGGAATTCAAGCCTAATAAACCTTCCCAAGTTAGAATGAAAATTTCCTCCATTTACATACAAGTTAGTGATACAAGACAGGTAAACAACATGTCTAAGATCAAAAGACTCTAATATCAAAGCCAGAAACACTGCTACTCTTTCAAGAGTGATATTTGATAACTTGAAGGCACTTGTAATTTAAACCCAGCTATTCAGGCTTGATACTGTAGAATAACTGTTCACAGCATTTGAAAAGTTTTGGAAGTAAGGTATGGAAGGAATTAAAACTTTTGGCCTCCACTTTCTTGTCTACTGAGATTAAACTGGTAACAAACCTAAATCTGGAAATTTCAGCAGACAGAGCCTTGGTGAATCCTGAGTTTTACCTGCCATCCATTTGAAAGTTACACCAGCCAGGCAGTAGTAATAAGCTGCATCCACCTGCCCAAATCAATCTTAGGGCTAGGTGGATGCAATTTGTGTGGAGTTTATAATAGGACAACTAAATGCCATTAATTCGCTGAGGAGACTGTGTCCTCTGAGGCATGGCACAGTTCACACAAAGAAAGCAGAATAAACTTCTTCCTCTGAGGCCCTATCAGCTTTCCAATAGGATTAATCTTCTTCATAACAAAATCACGTTTCTGTGTGTTCAGGCACTACACTGATAGCTGATTTCATTAAGTTCCTTTTCCTGTCTCTGTTCTATACTACCATCTCTAAGCCTCAAACTTCTGGTTAGTAATACAAGTTAACAAGCTCCAAATGCTGTTACACTGGTGTGCGAAAACAGCTGTAGCAGTTTTAACAGTCATGCTTATCCAATACTACTTAATGTTCTCTCAGATGAGACAAGGTAACTCACAATGGAAACCTTTCTAATAAAACATGCTCACTTGATAGCTACAGTCCAGTAAAAAAGACACTTATGCTGCCAAATGCCATGGGCACACCTCACACAGCATAAAAACAGATGGAAATTGTCCCAGATAGTAAATAAAGCACTGCTTTCTCAAGTGTGTTTTTACCTTTCAGGATCAGTATTTACTCCAATAACTGGTTTAAATTTATCAAAGACCTTACTGGCTGCCAGCAACATTGTACCATCACCTACAGAAAAAGGAAAAACAAAAGTTAGTTCTACTTCGCATTCTAGTATCCCAAACAAAACCAGCTCACAGGTACTGTAGCATTATCACTACCTGCTTTAGTATCAACAACCAGCCAGGAAACGGAAGCATTCAAAGCCAGGCTAGATATGTCCCTGAACAACCTAATCTAGTGGGAGGTGTCCCTGACCATGGCAGGAGGGCTGGACCTTTAAAAGCTTCTGCCAGCCTGAAACACTCTATGACAATCTGCACAAAATTAAAATGGGACCACGAAACTAGTGACACTTTCAAAGCAGAGTAGTGACAACTGAATTCAAGATGACAAATATGACAGGAAAAAGTACTTCTCTGACAGCTGTACATGTCCAGGCAACTAAATTTGGCAGAAGCAAGTTTGAAGGGAGATATATGGAAATCTCTGTATATCAGCTAAGAGAAAATTTCTTAAGAACATAAATTTTGAAAGTATCACTAATCAAAGCCACAGCAGACAGGAAGTAATACAAAATTTTACTGTGAATCAAATGAAAACAATTACTTTAGTTCCATCTCAGTTGTTCTCCTAGAAGGCACAATTTAAAGATCTGATTTAGTTGCAAATAGGCATGCTTGGAAAAAATAAGCTGTTAAAGCAGAAAACCTTGAAGTGTCACTGGTTTCTTTAGACATTGATATTCCTTTCTATCTGTTAAAGAGGTGGACAACTATAACCTGACTCAACCAAGATATGAACTCTGAAAACGCTCATGACGGATCACTTCCCAGCTGCTTGCTTCAAAATCCTGAAGGATGTTGCCACAGCCAACTGGCACCTTAATCCCCAGTTTAGAGGAGTTCTTTGAAATCTGCAGATGTATATCAAAATGCTTCAGGAAGGTACATCTCTTTCCAACTGTTATCCCTTTCTAACCATTCTGAACAGTAACCAGTAGCTAAGGGCAAACTGGACCAGTAGAGAGGAGAGAAAGGCAGAGCAGTTGTCAAGCGTAACTGCCACAGATGATGGCACATTACATCAGAGCCCAGCAACACACTGCAGTATTTACAGCAAATCACAAAAATAATACTGAATTAACTGCTGCAATCCAATGCTCAAAAGAAACCATCAGGCTAGTTGTTATGTTGGTTCATTTAAAAAGCCCAAAGCAGTGGCACAGGCTGCTCAGAAGTTGCATACTCTCATCTGTACCACCCAACTAGATAATCCAGTAACTGGAATTGAGTGTAAAAGCAAGAAATAGTTTAAGCAAGGGGAGAAAGAGGTAGTTTTTGCTAGTCTCTTCACACACCACAAAACAGAAAGTAGGGTTCCGACCTATATATTAATCACATGCCAGCAAGCATTTTAGCCTCTTTAGTTGAAAACAGTAGTAAATTTCACAGCTTATGCTGTTTTGCATGACAACACTAAATGTCTCCAAAGTGGCTGTGCACTAGAATTCACTTCCTAGTACTACAACTTTACACACTAGATGCAGTGAGCATGGTCACAACCACTGGAATTTGTCATGTTTTCTGACAACCAGATACACAATTTGTTCTCAAAATATGCATATATCCAGATGCTTCACACACTGCAAAGTATTTTTGAAAAAGATATCTATAAGAACATACTGAAAATAATACTCCCATGAAGTCATACCTCCTGCTGATACAACAGCATCTGCCCACCGAACTGTGTCTTCATTATATTCTCGACGTTTAACAAGACGAACTTCTATCCTCTCGTTCCTACAAAGTGCAGAAAAAGCCTGAATGTGTCCTATATTGTTCCTTGCCACAACTGTCTGAAAAACTGACATTTAATTAAGGACTAATTACAGTGGTATTTGGATTACAAGCATCTGACACACAAACAAATCCTTCACATCTTTCTCTCTTGTTTTCAAGATAACAACTTGGTATGTAACTTAACTGAACTGAGCTAGTTCACATTACGATTATTTCAGGAATGACTATTCATCCACATCCCTCTGTTTTAAGCATTCCTATTTCACCAGAGCTTGTAACACAAAGCTTCCTTTCAAACAAAGCTTCCTTTCATTGTTGTACACAATCCATCTGCACTGTGTATGAAATTCTCAACACCCAAACACTCTTACCTTAAACTGTCTACAACGTGCTCCACGTTTTTTGTGTGAATGCGATGTCGCTCCAGCAGACCAGCATAGTTAGATCCCTTCAAGGCAAGCTGTGAGACACAAATTGGTTTTGTAAAAGTTAATGACTACAGTAAGTGCCCCTGAATAATACAAACAGAAGCTATAAAAAGCATGTATTTTATCTCAACAGAGGTATGTGCTTTTACAAGCATTCCATTAGATACATCTCTACATACTTATCAGTTAGCTTATATTGACCAGTTCATTAAATGAGTTACATGGCCGCAGTACCCAAGAATCACAGACCTTTTGAGGGTTATACACGAAATGCAAGCAAGTAGACTGCACTGACTTTTATGTCACTTCAGGCACTCTGCTATCCTTGTATCTGCTAAGTAATTTGAACTCCAGGTAAATCTACATAAAACAGTAATACTGTCTATACTAATGTGCTAAAAGCATCCAGCCAAACAGATAACTACCTGAAGAGTTATAAACATTGTGCTATAGAGAGAGAACAATAGAAAAAGCAACAGGAATGATAATTAGGAAAACACAAATCTTTGAAATACCCAGAACCTAGAAATAACCTTTAAATTATATTTGAGCTAAAATGGAAGACTGCCAAGTGGTGACAAAGGTGACATTTCCCCTGCGTCAAAAAAAGCTTAAGGACAGCCTATCTGCTACCTTTGACACTGTCCCCTGGATTACAGACCAGATTTTTCGAACAAATTCACATAAGTAACACAACAAACAGCACTTAACAGTTGCATTCTAGCACAATTATTTTTTGAAACCTCCTGAGGGTCCTTCTAGCCTGTTATTCTACACCTACACTGTCATTGCTTCCTTTTTCCCAACCAGTTAAAACCAATTTATCGCGACAGAAACGGGACTTCCCCTAGCATTTGTGCAGCAAAATTCATCTGTGCCAGAAGCTTTGAATAGCACTTCCAACAATATATTGAAGTGCCTTTACTTAAGCTGCACACCCTTCCAAGAGAAAGTGGTGCCAGACAGCCACAACAAATCCCATTTCCATAGACACTCCCAAACCACAGAACTCTGCAGCAAAGGGGAAAGGAATGGCAGGATATGACCATTTCTGTTAATTGCAATCCAATACCCACCAAACACAATCTTTATTCACCTGACACCTGCTGCTGTCAAGAAATCCAACCATGAGCTAAGCACAAAGACAGACTTGGTGCTGCTGAAACTGCAGAAAAGAATGGAATGCTCTGTTCTGGAATTGCATTGCTGTCCTCCTCAGTGTGTTTATGATCAGCGATTAACCTGCAGGAATGAAATCATTAGGTGGTCTTACAGCTGGGACCCGGAAACCACCTCCAACTCTAGGGCTCCTAGACTTTGGCTGCCTCCAACAGCCCTACAGGCATTGTAGCTGCCAACTGTGCTAGGTCACACACACAGATAAGCATGCGGGTGATAAGAAAACATTCAGACAAAGCTTTCAGATCATCTTTACAAAGCTTGTTAGTACAGGAGAACCGGGGTACAGGGTGTTATGTCCCATTCATCGCCTCACACAGTTAAACTCCATGTTTCTGTTTCTTGTTTCTACTCTACAACTGCCATCCTTGCACACTCCTGAATACCTCCTGCTCCCCCAGTGCCTGTGGGAATCTGAATTTCCCACTGGGAATCTGAACAGTGCCACTGTGCTGCTCTAGGAAGAGAAAGAGTACACAAAACCATGGTCAGTCACAACACTGCCCATTGCTAGGTCTGCTGCCAGCCTCTCATGTCCATTTGGAGCAGAAAGGAGAAAGTGGAAAATAGGAATTAAGAGATCGGTCTCCCACAGGCAACATCTGCCACTGAGCACAACATGTCTAATTTGCTAGAAGAGGGATTTTCAATTACACATTTGAAGCACAAATTTACCTTGCTTTACCAACAGAAAGGACAAGAATTCCACAGCAAAAAAGTAATCAAGTTGTGTTACTAAAATCAGGATTACCATTCATGCCTTCTCTAGAAATATCTGCTGTGAATGAAAGACCAGCACCTGACAAACAAACTGCTGCTGCAGCACACGTTTTTCAGGCTTCTATTTCCAAAAGCTATTCTCTCCACACAAAACAGAAACTGCAAATTTCATCTTGCAATTTTATGTACCTCATTTATTTGGCTAATTTGTCAGCATGCAGTCTTTCAATTTGGTCCAAGAGAACTTTTATCTCAGACAATGACAGCATAATGGCTATCTGTACGATCACTTTGCAAGCTTTTCAGTCACAGATACCAGTGGTGAGCCTACAGCTAACAGCCCACAGGCATTGCTAGCAAGGAGAGGTATGGGGAGTGTCACTGCTGTGGAACAGCCTGCACTGTAACTTACATTTGCCTTAGGTGTGTTAAATTATTTCACTGACAGCTTCACAAAGCAGTAAAGGATGCTCAGCTAATAAACTCCCAGTATTCTGATGACTGGCTGAACCATTTCCATGGATACTTCTACTTTTGCTAAGAGCAGCTCTGCAGAACAGCTACCTAACAGGTAGAGATGTCCTCTTTGAATTTAGCTCTGTAACAAGTAAGCAGGTATCACCAAGCAACAAGATAAATTAAAAGTTAGAGCCTTGAGTTTAAACGGCTAAGATACATTTACAGAGTTAATGAATCATCCTAACCTGCTAAAGGCTCCAGAGACTAAAACTGTCTGATCATCTGTAGCCTTATCCCTCTAGCTCAGAGTAAATAACTCCCAGGTTCATTCAGCTAAGAATGAATTAAGAACTCAAACTCATATCCAGGGCCTGGATGCCATACTAAAACTATGACAAATGCCACCACTTAGAAGAGCTCTGCACCAAGGACAAAGAATGTGACAGACCCAACACGTCCTTTTAACTTAAAAAAAACAACAACCTGAAGGCAAAGATCAGTCAGTTTAGTTGCTGTCTGTACAACCAACTCCCCACAGAGCATGGGAGGAACTTGAAAACCCCAGACTTCAAGACAGCCTGGCTCCCAAGACCACTGATCAGACAGGCCTGTGAACCTGTGACAGGCCTGGGTCTTACCAACTGACCTTCAAAAATGTCAGTAGGTTTCAGCTTCTGCATGAAGACAAGTTGCAAATTCTTCTTCCTTTGAGGGAAGCTCTATTTTACAATTATGACAGTTATCCTTCCAAAAGGAAAAGGTTGGACAGGCCACTCCCCACTCTCAACATCCAGAAGCAAGTCTGACAGTCTCACAGAGCAAGTATCTTTAAAGCAAGTATTGACATTTGTGGGGAACAGTCCATCTTCTCTCCCGCCCATTCACCATTTAACTCCCTGATACCGCCCACGGCAACATTCCTGACTAAAATGTGAATAACAAACTATTACAACACACTCCTGTTGAGCTTATTTGGTCTTTTAAGCTGTATGGAGTAGAAATTCGATCCAAGTATGAAGACTGTCTGAAGAAAAACAGAGTTATACCATACACCTGATAACATTTATGTAAATAACTTAGTATACTGCAGTTTCTTCAAGTTTTATTTTTTAAAAACTCTCATTAAGTAAAAAAAACATAAGTCTCATTTGTACAAGAAAAAGTTCTCATTGAAAGTAATCCTTCTGCTACACTTCACCACTATCCTTTTGAAGAAAAATCACTTTTTTCTACAGAATAAGAAGCTATGTTTGGTCCATGAAACAGAAAAAACCTTCATAAAACCGGAAAAAAACTGAACAAAGTGTCATGGGGTCATAATATATACTCCTGCAAAACTTACCCATACTAATACAGAAAACCTAAATATTACCAAAAAAAAAAGAAAGACTAATCCTGCCGGTACAGTACAAGGAGTACACTGTAAAACACAAAACATTTAAACTTATCCATACTCTTCCCTACATTGCCAGATTGCAAACTGATTTTCTAGACACTGGCTAACAAATAACAAGGTTGCTTCTACAGAGCTCAGAATCTTCAAACTGGAGTATCCTTGACATTTCTTGGTGTTGAAGTTGTAAAAGCCTGTGTGAGAGGCCACACACAGGTCTGGAGCCCTGCACTACTATTAAGTAATTTCTTCCAGTGGTTTTCTGGACAGATGCGTAAAAGGAAATTGAAAAGTGCTGATGAATAGAAGTTATAAGCTATAGATCTTTAAACACACAGGAAATGTGGCATTTGCTGAGGTTCCTTGAAAAAAAGGGGTAGAACATACAGGAAACATCCTATCAGAGCACAAGGGTGGTCAGCAATGGCAGTAGAGGAAGCACCCAAAAGCAGAAGTATCCATGATGAGTGGGAAGAAACAAGTACAACTGTAGACCTATTAATCTGACCTCCATAGGCATGCAAGACTGTAAAATAAAACGCATTAATATATACACAAGAGCTATACTAGCTAAGTGTATTAGTAGATGAAAACAGACAAACTAGCCAAAAATACATTCAGGCATAGCTTCAGTACTCTTTTTAATCACAGATGCAATGTAAAGCAGGCTTCCAAGAGAGGAAAGCATTGGAAAACACTCTCAGGTCAGAAGAACTTGCTCTGTAATGGAGTTATTTTCCTTTAGAAGCCTGAGGGAGAAAAGGTCTAGATATAATTACTGACAAAAAGAAAAAAAGAAAAGAAAAAAAGCACAGTAAAGCAGCTCTTCTTTTTCTTTTAATGAAAGGGCACTTTTTCAAAGACATTTAACAGTCATGTAGGCAAGACACACTTGCTTGACTGCCTTCCTTCTAAAGTCTCAGCTCTCACCTCTGGCAAGTGTCACCCCACTGGGACTGAATTGTAGACCTGCTGTCCTTAAGCAATGCTGGTCCTCCAGGAACACTGCTGAACAACCAAGGACGGGCTTGTAGCCACCAATACAGAAGCAACATGAAGCCAAGTAACATCCAAATACCCACTGCTGTCTACATATGTGGATAATGATCCTTGATTTAGAGAATGGGGAAAAGAAAAGCTATAGACTTAAAGCTTACTGACATCACTAATCTAAGACATGGCATAAAAGAGTATGTGCTTTCAAAGTAGCAATGTGAATGTTGTCCAGAGTGAAACTATGAACAGAGCACTTTCTACACCTCATCCTAGTACACTAACAGAAACTTTTCAGATCCATTTTGGCTATATATTAATATACATATATAAAAAAATACACATTCATATTCTTATTACTACGTTTATCCTTAATTTACAGTGCTAACCTTAATGTTGCCTTAAACTGACACTGCACCTGAGTGTAGTTAATGCCTTGGAGTACCAATCAGTTGTTTTACAACCCATTCAGGAGTTAAGGTAAATGTCTCACTAGAAGCATTAAAAATAAACAAACAAACAAACAAGCAAACCTCAAATCAAAAACAAACCAGCAAAAAACCCCCAACATAGATCTAGAAACAGTTAACTCGCAATATCCACACTGAAGCTGCCAACACACACACGCCAGGCAGGAAAACAAGAACAGATCACTGTTTTCCACTGTACTTAATTTCTACAGAAAGAACCACCAAACAAATAGCTTTAGAAAGGAACAGCTGAACGCAGAAGTTTGAATTCTAACATAAAGAAAATAATACTATGACCATTATAGGTATAGTCCTCTAACCATTTATAAGCAGAATACAGCACTATCAAAAGTCCTATATTTTCAGAAATTGTACAGTTAGATTAATCACATATCTCAAATATACACAAAATCAGTGCTCTCAGTTCAAAAGAAAAAAAGCATTTCTTTAGACAAAAATCTGGGAAAAAAAATTCCAAATGTGTCAACTTTTTAACTAGAAACAACTTTGAATACGGTACATACTTCAAATAATACAATTTTAGATTCCCTGACTAATAAGGAACAGTGACTCAGAACTTGCCTAAGTATAAAAGACTGGCAATCTATAGTTGCATAGAAGTAGTTTTCATATGTTCTAGAGTTAACTACTAGTCAAGTTAAGTCTTAATCTGTCATGCTAAAATCCAGCTACCTCACAGGTCAGGCAGATACTGAAGTTTCTGATTTCTTAAGAGCTATAATAATATATTAAGCTTTCCTATTTCGTAATGGAAACAATCTCCATACAAATTAGTAGGATAAAAGCATGATTCAGGTTCTGAATCCTAGATAAAAAAGTGCAGGAGAAACAAATATAAAAATAAAATGAGCAGTTAGTTATGGCAGAACCTCCCAGTAGAAACTAGTCTAAGCTTGGCTAGAACACCAACTTTCACTGTGAGTACAGGACAGCATGCCCACTCTCAATTTCTTCTCACTAGAGGAGAATTATCAAAACCAGTATCATTTATGAGCTTCAACTGCTGTATTTGTACCAATGACAGCAAGTTTGTGGATAACAGCAAACTCAGCGGTGTGGCTGATCCAGAGAGACCTTGACAGGCTGGAGAGATGTGCCAATGCCAACCTCATGAAGTTCAACAAGGCCAACTGCAAGGTCCTGCACATGGGTCAAGGCAACACCAAGCACAATTACAGGCTTTGTGAAGAATGTATTGATAACAGGCCTGAGGAGGATTTGGGGGTGTTGGGTGATGAGAAGCTCGACATGAGCCACCAGTGTGCATCCACAGCCCAGAGGGTCAACTGTGTTCTGGGCTGCATCAAAAGAAGTGTGGCCAGAAGGTCAAGGAAGCCAATTCTTACCCTCTACTCCACTCTCATGAGACCCCACCTGGAGTACTGTGTCCAGTTCTGGAGC